ATAATGGATTAAATATATAAATAAATAACCCCCCCTCCTTGCCGTGTTAGCTGCGAATGGAATAAGGCAATTAAGGCTTCCAGCAATCGGTGTAATTCTTTCAAGTAAAAATGTAACCGTGGACACGTGATGACAGCTGCCATAATTTGCCTGAGCGGGGGGATGGTGAGGGGGGGGGAGGGCCCCCTCTGAGCTACTTTGATGGTTGCCGAACGTCGGTCGGTTCCTCCTGAAAACCACCGAGGTCACGCGATCAGCGAACACTACGGCGGGAAGAATTCGACGGCCGCACGGTAAGAGTGACGGGATAGGTTTGCAGGGTGGGATTGTCTCATCGCGTACGCGCCGGTGCAGGTTTGACAGAATTCGCTACGGGAGTGAGGAAGCTGCTCCCTCCGATTGGTTTCCAGCGCCACCGCTAGCGGAGGGGCCTCCGATGGAGGGGGCTTAAGAGGGCCCCCCTCAAGACGGCAATTATGGCCCCACTCTTTCCGCGCCGATTGCACATATTGGAAGTGCGCACATGTTACACCACCACACGTACCCTGCCGACTGACGAGCTGTGCCGTCACCCCACTCATGCTGCTGGGAAGATTGAAGCAGGTGGTGGAGGGTCGGATTTAAGAAATTTGCACCCGTTGTTTTCAACTTGCCAGGCTGGGAGATTGAACTTGCGGACCTCTGTATTGGAAGTCCAGGGTGCTATCTATTGCACAGCGGCAGCATTAAATCCCTCTGACAGGATATAATTTCACGGGATATCTTCAGATGAAACGAACTGGCTGAGGCTAATGAGGCCTTGATGTGGCCTCAGGTGTCCTATACGGTGTAATGAGCTGTTACTAAACTGCTAATTATATCATTGGGGAACAGTGGGAAAATTAAATATGATTTTTTTGAAACCAGATTGTGTGGGAGAGTACATCCTTTAATTTGCTAATGTAAAAAAAGCAACTTCCACATGCAAACAGAGCCAAGGAACTGAGATTTGTTGAGATTATGGGAAACTTCAAATTCGCCAGTCTGTGAAGCAATCCCCATTAGCGCAGCATAGACTTATGTAATTGCCTCCGTCAAGCGTTGAATGAGGGCAGATTCTAATTGGACGGTACAGGCACCTGGGGCAATCGTGGACTACGTGTGCTCCCGTGATCTTTGCTCTGTGGTTTCTAAAACTTTTTTTGAGGCCGGCGGACCACTCAGCCCCCAACCTCGGGTGACAAAACGCATCCACTTCTCTCTCTAAATACCAGTCATACTAAAATATTCATATTAATAGAAATACATATTTGTAAACGCAGCTATACGCTTTTTTTTATTAGGGAGGGGGCATTTAGATTTTAGGGTGAGGATAGTTTAACCATGGTAGCTCAACGAACTTAACTGCTAATTTAATGATCATATGTAAAATATGAATGTCCGGAAACAAACGATATATATGATCCACGTTGACATCATTGTCCGGATCAACCTCTGCATTTGCATCACAGCCACTGCGGACCACCTGGAGGACCGTCGTGAACCCACAAGCACCGGGCGACGTAGACAAACAGAATAACCCCACCGCGACCTAAAATGTTACCATGGCACTGCGGCAGATTGTTATACTGCAAGGCAGAATTGGGTAGAATCAGTCACGTGTCGCTAATTTCTACATGAAACTCAGTCACTGCATCCTAAATGCATTTATTTAACAAAAATGTAAAGGACGTACGGATCTTACTTTTGATCGATTCACAAGTGCAGTTCACTAATGCAGGACAAAATCACTAAGGAAGGACAGATCACTAATGCATGACATTTCACTCATACAGGAGAGTTCACTAATGCAGTATAGTTCTTTAATGAAGTACAGCTCCCTCATGTAGGACCGTTGACTAATGAAGGAGAGTTCACTAAGGGTCGTAGTTTTAAAAAGGTTCACCCTGTCTGTAGGATGGCCTGTTTACAGACTTGCTCATGCAGAACTCAATCGACAGCTAAATCATTCCCCGCAAAAGAGGCCTCATTTAACGTGCAGGCAAAGAAAGATCGTATTTCACGAGCTACAAAGAACCATTTTGTGGGGACATTTGCGGGGAAGTCAATAGTCGGGCGTAAAGAACAATTCCACCCTTGCACAGGAGCATGACATTTGCAGTACTCACTCAGGGCTCTAAAGGGGAGCTGTGCAGATTTCCCCACCGTTCATTTGAGAATTGACGTGGGCGACAAACCCACTTTTACTTTCTTTGTACTTCTGCCAACGTAAAAGGTGCCCCTGTTTCAACACCATTGATTTATATTTTTTCCATCTCGTGACGTAGATCACAGGATTGTGGGAGATGGTGGTGGCAGATCATGGAAACCTTTGGTCCAAAAGTGGATTGACCATGACTACTGCTGCTGCTGATGCTATAGCTCTCAATTTCATTTAACCAAACCCGTGTTATTTTATCAGGTAAGGCACACTGAGCGAAATACTGTAGCTATATATTTTTTAGAAGCGACCTGGCCACAAATAATAGCTGAAGGAAGTGTCTTTTCAAGTGGAAATTTCTAGCAGCACAAATACTATAAATGCGCGATGTCATTTCTAAAAGTGGCAGGAAAAAGACCGGCGGACTCTGGGAAAAATCCACGCGACCACGCGGAGATAGAAGCATGCAAACTCAACTCCGAATATACAGCGGGCGTCAGGGTCGGGATCGAACCCACCACGACCTCCTTGCATACCAAGCGAGAGAGTTAACATCTCCTAGCCACCGTGATAATGATGAGAGAGAGAGAGAGACGCAAACTCCAAATATACAGCAGCAGGCGTCAGGCTCGGGATCGAACCCACGACCTCCTGCATACCAGGCGAAGGGAGTAAACATCTCCTAGCCACCGCGAGACGCGGCCACGATGTCGTGGTCACGTGTGACCGACAAACAACAGCTGCTCAAAACGTGGCACGATGAAGCCGTGTCAACAACAAAAACCGGAACCCTTTGAAAGCTGTCCCAGGGCTTGAGACGCGGGCGCGCCGTGTCCATATCCCGCACCTTCGATTAGCACGGCTGCCTGATGTACGGCGCGAAAGAAATCCAACATATTAGTTACACATCTACAGCAGATGAAGCGACGCGCGCCACGCCGCACCGTGTTAGTAGTGGTGTAATCAAATAGAATAGAGCCACCGCAAGCCGGGCAGGCTCGTGGGGAAACTCGGCACACACTGATTCACGTTGCCTGCACCCTCACTCGCCTGCCGCCCTAATGAAACTGTCATCTTTTATCTCGCCGCAAATGCAGTCCGTGCGTGCCGGATGAAGCTAGTGCTGGGGCCTGTAAGCATATGTTATAAAGGGGCCCTAAATTGAAATAAAAAAAAAACACATAAATATGAAAACGCTACATTTTTCACTTGTATAGTAAAGTAATTGCATTTTTTTCCATTTGCTATACGGCCAGATAATACGATTTATCGCTAACCTTAAACACCCAGTCGTTCGTAAAGGTTGAAGGCGGTATAGAACTATAGTAATAGAGCAAGTGCAGAGTCACTGAGCCAGAATTGATAGCTTGAAAGCATTTAATGCGGGGCCCTTGAAAGTGCGGGTCCCGTAGCTACATTTGTAGCTACTTTTGTGACGAGGATAATCTGATACGGTGTGGGGGGCGGCCGCCACAGTAATGTCCTGCCTCTGTATTCGTCTGTGGCTCATGCTGCGCATTTAGAATCCGGGATTGTCAAGTTCAACGTCAACGACGCCTTGTCGATCCACTGTTGGATGAAGGCCTCTTTATTGTCACCTTGGTCGTGGGGGGTCGCCGGAGCCATACCTGGCCATGCTGGTCAATGCAGATTGGTGAGTGGGGGCGGGTGTGTGTGGGGGGGGGAGTGCAACAGTCGAGGTATAACTCAACACGGATGCTGAGTATTGGTTTTATTTAGACCTTGGTTTTCGCAGAGCTTTGGATTACTACATCAAGGGGAGTGCTTTTGAAAAAAAAAAAGAAACTGAATTTGATCTTGAAATGCAACAACCCCCCCCACAATGTCGCCTCGTGCCGGAGATTTTAAATCAGCGCATTTCAGCCCGCCGTGACGCATCGATCAAATAAGGTGGAACAAAAGATGGCAAAAGGGTGCGCGAAAAAGCGCGGAGAGACCTCGCGCTGGGAATTGCACTGAACCGCGGGCAGAGGAAGGCGTGCGTCTGAGAAGCGGCGGCACGCCGGAGACATTCTAGTGGCCGTTAACAAGCTGGAAGGGCCCGCTTGGGGCATGGCACCCTCGCTCGAAGGGGAAGACGGCAAATGTTGAAGACTGACTGCTTACCCGCGCACGCTCCGATTAGCACGGGTGGCTACGTACGTACGGTGCGAAAGAAGTGCGACGTACATACGTATGTCGCACTAAAGGGTGGGACGCGTCGAATGGGACGACTGCTGCTGGAGTGGTGAGATCCGTCCACGGTCAATGCTGTCGTATCGCAAGACAATGAGTGTCAGCGGCGACTTGGACAGGCCTTCGCCCGGCAGTGCATAGAACGCGGCTAACGAATGATGACGATTCTTGCTCGACAAATGCGCGTGACGAGATCTGCAAAGTCAATGAAAGCTAGAATTGCGCAAGCCTATCCATCGGTCCGCGTCAACCACCCATCAAATATGGCTGTGCCAAAAGCGTGCCGGCGAGCTGCATCAACCCCGCGAGGATGTGCACCGATGTGGGCTTCATCCAGCCGTGGGATGGCGAAGGGCTGGAAGGTTCACGTCCCGAGAAGAGAGCTGGATGTGGCTTTTGTTGAGGCGGCCGGGCAGCTCGGAGGACAAAGGTTACGCCTTTGTTCAGAGCCGTGCAACTTTTGTGGCCGGGGTTATAATCCTGGCCTCCCGACTGAGATGAAACCCAGGTTTCTCGAGGGCAACTGCCTTATTATTCCTGCTCAGTCACGAACGAATGAATAAATAAATACACGCAAAATAAAGAAAAGCCCTTTTCATAGATCGTGATTTTATTCCGTGCAGCCTCCACACTGCGTCAACATCAGCAGAGCCGAGATCCTTGGTTCAAATCAGTGCTTCAGACGCTCGTCATTAAACCGGATTCTCATGTGGAGCGAGGTGATGGTCTCTGCCAAGTCACCAATGACTACACACACACACAAAACGTGACATTAAAATTGCGATTTCACTTCATTTGGCTGCATTCCAGATACGGGAAGCCACTGGGGCTATACACTTTTCAAATCTAATTTAAAAATTAATTTCTTGAGAACGGCGTTTTGTGTTTAGTTTGTTGTCCTTCCCCCGCACCTCCGATTAGCGCGGTTGGCTACGAACGGTGCGAAAGAAGTTCAACATACACACGTCTGAGAATGCAAACTAATGTAGTTTAACTGTCACACACTGAACACGTCCTCTTCGTATCATGGCATGCTGGAAAATAAGTGCAGTTGTCCGAGTGGGTGGATACAAACAAGCCACTTGAAGAGGCCTCAGAAGAGCAGTCGTCGTTCCACGAAATCTCCTTGACTGCGTGCAGTGCAGTTCTCTCGAACACTGCGTGATGCACCGATCAAAGAGCAGATAGATGTGGACTCAACTCATGCACGAATATCACGGGAAAAAAAAACCCACCTCGTGTTTATTTGAGGCAGATACATAGAAGAGAATGCATTGTCTTATATCAAAGCCATTATTATCAAAGCCACACTTTCCCAAACTACATTCCTTATGACCCACCGCGATTTTACACGTTTCCCGATTTGCTCCCTTAAAGTTCACGCGGTGTCGTCAACACGCTGCCTCTGCCTGATGATCGGTACACACGTCCCACGTGACGCAGAAGGCTTGTTGATTCGCGTGAAGATTGTTACGCAATCGATTAGTAGCGCTCGCTGTAATTGATAAACATCATCGCGCTAAGGCTCCATCTATTCACCGTTGGATGAGGTCCCCGCATAAGCGTCAACCACCGCTCGTTGGCGCCGCGATGCGACAATCCACCGAGCTCCCGCACACCACGAGCCGAAGTCATCGCTCCGATGCAGCGCGTGTCGCCTGCTACGACAGATGAATGAGAAGCGTTGCAGGACACTGGAAAAAAGCCAAAGTTACAGAGCAAGGGCGAAACATTGCGTACAAAACAAAAGACGTGGAGAGGTGTTGCACGCGTGGAATTGCACTTGAGTTGTTGCCCCCTGGTGACCCCGTGGCCCTACTGGACATTTGTGAAAAAAAGAGTTTCACAGCTCATCGAATTTCTCCAGGATAGAAAAAAAAGATTCCATGATTCTGAAGACCGGGAGATCGTTGAACGATGTTTAGTCGCCGTATTGATGGCGTCATCGGTCGCGATTCCTCACCGAATATTGCCATCTTCCACTGAGAGACAGACAGAGAGAGAGAGAGGAACACGTTGCTAATGTTTCCAATGAGACGTGAACATTGCGCTGTCTGGATAACAGCGGGCACGTGGCGAGCGAGCGAGCGAGCGAGCGGTCGCAGTGCGACTTTGGTTGATGCCGTGAAAGGGGCAATGGGAGGTGGTCTCGAGACTGGTGCCAACGGTGGCGGGCACACGAAGATTATCTCGTCGTGGTGGGGGGGGGGGGGGGGGGGACTTGTGGGATCTCTGAACCTCGGCGGGGAATCTATTGTATATTAAGGTGGGCGGGGGGGGGGGGTCTTAATTGTCCATTGCAGGGGACGGTTCGACAAAGCGCTGCTACCACCAGCATCATCTGGGTCCTGGGACATCCGAGTTTGCAATAAAGGCGAGGGGGTCCTTGCCTCCCCCGGCACACAAACATGCCGTGGCAAGAGCGCAACTTGTTTGCAGAGGAAAATGTCGTGACTTTGTGTTGTTTGTTCCCCGGTAAATCTCTGTATTTTTTTGTATGTGTTTGTCAAACAGTCGTTGGCACGCCCATGTGAATGATAATGATGAGTCGCACGGTGGAGAAGGTCTAATGGGAATTTTAGACTCAAATGTTTTTTATGTGCCGGAGTTGATGTTGTCTAGTTTTATGTTTGGTTTATTGTATGAAAGTGCAGGCTTCCCACTTTCCTAAAGAAAAATGCGTTTAACGTATTTATTTTATCATTATACTCGTTTGGCCGTTAATTTGACAAGTTGAGAGTTGTGTGCTGACTTTTGTTGTTGTTGTTGTAAAGGCAGATCGCTGTAAGCGGCAGCCAGCAGGAGTAATGATGCACAGAGACTCGGAGTCAAGGTAAATGAACCGAGTCTATTGCACTCTTCGTGTATTCCCAACCCGACAAAGGAGCCCTGCTGAACGTTTTTTTTCGTTTCTGAACGTAGCGGTGTGACTTCACTGCCTTGCCAATGAGGCGCCGCTCATCAGAAATACATGCGGATGCGGTACTTAAGTCCACCAACGCCGTCACACGAAAGCGGAACTATTGTATCCGACACCGTGACGGCGAAACGCGGGGCTCCCCAAAGCGAGGGGCCTGGGGCGGTCGCCCCGATTCGCCTGCACCGTAGGGAGGGCTCTGGTTGTGGGAAATGCTTGTATGCTGTACACCACTGAGAAGGCGTCTGACCGTACAGGGTGGCTCAAAAGTTGGGTTATTGCATTTATGTTGAACAAATCACACCAGGGTTATTTAATTTATTTTAACAAATGTGCAAGCTGACTTCCACTTTTATCATTAATGCACGCATGATTTGTTTTGATTAATTTAGGACTTTACAAAACAGATGACAGCTGCCTTCGTTAGCTTACATAAAAAAACGCATTGACCTCGTTCGTCTTTAGTTAATTGTCTTTCCATTTTAAAATGTCATCTGAAAATAAAAACGAAAAATAATAATGGCAATCGACAGAATAGAAACTTCAAGAATAAACAATTAAAATGTGTTAATGCCAGTGTTGAAATTAATGAAATAACCCTACGTGCCCTGACTTTTTGGGCCACCCTGTTTAATAACCCAGAATGAGCGCAATCTCATTGTATCACCACGGAAGCTAAGCAGGCGTTATCCTGGATCGTGTTTGGATGGGTGATCACCACACATCGAGCTGCTGCGTCAACAGCAGAGGGCTGCGCAGTAAAATCCATTGTTGTACTGTACTACGCTCCCCACCCTTTCACCGCCCCACACGATGTGGTGCAGTCAATGTCGAATCACCCCCAGAGCACGCGCGGCAAGGAGAGAGCAAGCGAGCTGCTCCTTCCCACAAGTCTTCCTTGGAACGAAACTGTTTTAAATTTGACCAGGTAAGGTCCCACTGAGCTGTATGGAGCTCCTTGTCAGAAACGACCTGGCTATCACAAACGATAGCTCAACGAAGTGGTTCATCACGTGCACATTTATAGCAGCCAAATACACCAAACGGGTGTTTCTCAATGTAGAGGGAGGAGCCGGAGAAAAAAAAACCACGCGAACCACGGGAAGAGAGACACGCAAACTCCAAATAGCCAGCAGGCGTCAAGGGCCGGAATCGAACCCACGACCTGCTGCTGCATACCAGGCGAGGGAGTTAACATCTCGCCAATGTGGGCGCCCTTACATCCTGCACGTCGGCCGACTCGCTCCAGTGCGTTTGGAGCAGTACGCCAGATGTCAGGCTTCTGTCAGGGTGTGGGAGTTGGGGAGGTAGGAGAGGTTGGTTGCAAGCAACAAGGTGCCAATGCAATTTCTCACGAAGCCATGAATCACCTTTTTTTTTGAATCGTAATAATGCACGCCGGCCTTGTTTCCGTGAGCGGGAAGGGGGAAGTTACTTTATTACCGCCGTGTCTCGGGCAGCGTGACGGCCCGAAGCGAAATGGAAATGGGCAGATAATCATCGAACCAACGGTGGGGGGGTTATCAACCTCGAGGTCACTGCCCTGCTAGCAATCTCCAGGTCATTACAGCGACTCTTATCGGCTTTGGCTTGGGTCAAGAATCCGTGCTAAATGATTTCCCTGGATCCAATTACACACAACCAGCTCTCCCAGCCCGTGGCGTGGCATGCCATAACATGTCAGGGGAGGGATATACATTTTTTACGTTATTTATTTGATGCGTATTATAACACAAAATGTATGTTTATTTATTTAGTTCATGCGTTGATAGGATGTTTTTTATTGTTTTTCTAAACTTTAGATTTTCTAAAAGTTCCGCTTTTTCCTTATGATATTGGTGCATAGTATTTTTATTGCTCGCATCCCTCGAGTAAATTTTCGAAAAGAGACATTAAGCAACACCAATTACGGACAGCAGGTACACAACTAAAATGAAACAACATTTGAGAAAGGCTATTTAGACGCCGTGGACTTGTAATGAGCAAACAAGTCTGAATATAACCGTGCTTTGGCTGGGAAATGCCTAGCTACAACAAGAATTCGGCGAAGAAGGTCGCATGAGCGATTGGCACAATGGGAGTGTGCGATGCAAAGTTCTTCAATAAATATTGACGGAGCTAAATGGCCGAAAGGCCATGGTCGCCGACGTCTTCGAGAAAGGACGCGGGGCGCACAGACACAAGTCTCAGGGGGCTCCCGGCCGGTTGAAAACACATCCCGCTGCGTGTGTGCTCGCGTGCGCTTGGGCTGTCACCACGCCTCGTTAACGCGTCAACCGATTCAGGCGTCTCAGCGGTCGGTAGGGTTGCGAGTCCAAAATTACTGGTTAGGAGTTGACTCAGCCCACCATCCCTCCAGGGGGGGGGGGGATAAAAAGTACCACTTTGTGGGGAAGTCATAAGTGGGTTGTCTGATCGACGGACTCACCTCTGCCATAGGAATGCGGAATTTCCACTGCTGGCTTAGTGCTGTAAGCAAGTGGGTCACCGCCAATGCCTCAATTATCGTATGATCAGGAAATGACTTCGGCCTATTTATTGTAAATGTATGTATTTTGCACCGTACGTAGCCAACTGTGAGGTGTGGGGGGACTTACAACAAACTAAATACAAAAGAGCAGCACTCAAGAAATTAGTTTTCTATTTAAATTTAAAAGTGCATAGTTCCATTGGCGTTCTAATTTCGGAAGGAAGAGCGTTCCAGACGGCCGCAAAAGCGCATCTGAAAGCGCGCGATGCGGTGGTCGTCTTTTTTCCATGGTCAACCGCAAGCCGCCGCTGCGAGGATCGCCGGAGTTCACGTGACGATGGTGTCCGCTCCATGACGAGATCAGCATAACGAGTGTGGTTCATTTGTGGCGAGCACTTTGCGTGTAACGAGTGCGACCTTTTAATGTGACCGTTCGGCCAACCAGAAACCAAAATTGGTGGACGAAAGCGGCGTCATCAGCCGCCGCACATTTGGCTCTGGCACCGGGGTTCCCGCTCTGTTGCTCCGAACGCGGCCACCTGAGTTCAACCCTCCAGCCACGGCAAACACCAGTGTCTGAATCGGATCTGGGCCTAACCCTCGATTGACTCAGTCTCATCAACAAGGTACCTGCTGCGATGTGTAAACGTCAGCAACCCAGGGAGACAAATTGCGGCCGGGCGAGGTGTTGTCCACACCCTCCGTGTCGACCTTCATAGGTGCTGCTCGATAACAGCTCTTGCCCCAACTGTCTATTAAGCCTATACGGAGCATCTTTGTCATTGTGATTGCATTAAGCACAGATTTGTTGCTTATACCAGACCGCTGCCTAAAGCAGCGAGTGTCGTAATAGTGATTGACTCTCAACTAATTTATAATCTCCACACTCAAATTGGAAAATCAGCCGTGCCAAATAAATGTGTATTTGACAGTCAAAATATTGACTTTAAAAAGAACATCAAGTTACGCAGTGGAACTGCAACTTAAATCGGGCCACTGATATCAACTTGCGCCGTAAGTGTTTACTCATAGGCCGTTTCCATGGCAGTGACGGACGTCACAACAAGATTGATAAATACCGTGTATGTATCTATCAAAATACACGGACACATTGAGGCTCACTCTGTGAAACATTGCGATGCATTATCCCAGTGAAATGTAAGTGGCAAACTTTTTTTGGCTCGGGAACATCTTGACCGGAATGAGATCATCATCCGTTGTACTGGCGTGTTTCAGTTTTCAGTTTCAGTTTCATTTATTAGGTATAGCCCTGTGAGCCATTCGGCTCTTGAATCGGGTGCAACCGCAACAAACAAAAACATGAACAAGAAAACATCTTAAAGTGACTATGCGCAAACATAAAAATCCAGGAAAAAACAGCAAAATATTGCAGAAAAAGCACCGTACACCAACGCTGTGTGCAAAAATTCCAGTGGGATGCAAGTCAAACAACAACAACAACAACCACAAGACAACTTAGATTAAAGCCATCAGTCTAACTCAGTACTACAACAAACAAACATGGCCAAACCAAAAAAGTTTTCGAAATCACCAAAATAAAGCCATAATAGCAATGTAGCAGTGATGATAGGAACAGTGCACACTGACGAAGCCACGTGGTCTCATCGTGGTGGGCACTACACTGGACTCGCAAACACAGAGATGGCCGGCTTCGGTTTCAATCCCATGGCGTGAGAGTTAAAAACAACAACAACAACAAATATTATTATTATTTACATTTGTTAAGGGACACATTTCTTCCGTAGATCCGAATGCGCCACCGCTGCGTCTGGAAAGCAGGAAATTAACAGAACCAGCAGGGTGAACGGTCAGAACAAAGGGGAGGGGGGGGGGGTAAAGGTAAGTTTAACCACTCACTCACCCACTCACTGACCTACTCATTCATCCACTCACTCGCTCACTCACCAACTCACCCACCCACTCGCTCAGAACCAGGGTAAACGGCCATAATTAGGTGAGAGGTGAATGCCAATTTAAATAGGTGGGTTTTCAACACAGGACTCAAATATATCTAACGACTCTGAATGTATTATTAGCAAAGGCAGCGCGTTCCAAAGCTCGGTAGCTGCACAGTGGCAAATGCCCCAATAATCATCCCTGCAGGAACGGAGCCTTGTTTGAGTATAGAAATGGATCACTTCCTGATTATTATTAACAATAATTTGTATTTCTATAGCGTTATGGCACAAATAGGCATCTCTATAGATGTTGTACAGGTACAAGAATTTACATCGAGTAATGTGGAGGAAGCAACAAATATTTCGTAGAAACTTGCCCTGGCATTCGGAATGGGCAAGATTTTTAACCCTACCCCCACCGCATACTGCCCTGCCTCTGTCGGCCTTCTAAATTGATACAACACCCGAGGTCGATCGTCAAGTCGCGGTATGATGGGATCAAGTGTGGGCATTCCACCGCTTTCAAGATCAGAATCAGAATCTTTATTTAGACTGGTGGAATCCGATGAGCCATGCAGCTCCTTCTCACATGCGTCCAAGAAATCGTGGTCAGCAAGAAATCGTGGCCAGCGTAGTAGAGGAAGCCAACCACCCTGTGGAGGGGCTCTCTGCGAGGAGGGCCTTCCCTCCCACCCACCAGCAGTGGTGTGAGTCAGAAATTTGCAGGGCTGCGCCCTTAACTTCACATTGTTACACGATCACGCTGACCAACAGCATTACGATGGCATTTCGGTGGCTTTAAGTGGGAACATCGTGACCAGAATGAGCCAAATTTGGGTTCGTTAATTTCGTGTCCGCCCTACCACTCAGTCGTATCAACGACGACCACTCGTTGGCACTTGGCCCCAAGGCACGGTCACAGTAATGATATCGTGACATCGTCGTCGTCACCATCAAGCTCATCCTTGATACGGTGACCCAGGTCAATTAACCAAAGTCACGACTTGTTTTCACAAAGGATCTCCACGTACTCGGTATTTTTAAAGGGGGGTGGGGGGGGGGGTGCATGAAAGGAGGATGTAACTCCCAGCCCCCACGTCCTCTCCTCCCCCCTCCCCTCCCCATCATTCACTGAACAACCGCCAGTTGCTGTCCGTGGTGCTGACGTTAAGAAAAAACCGCCACTTTTTTCAAAATGTCTTGCTGCGGGTTTCACACCTGATGATGATTGCTTGTGTTGCAATCGAAACGTCGTGAGAATTTTTTTGTTTTATTTTTATTATTTTATTATTTCCCTTCTATGTGACTTTACCGAAAGAACCAAGACTATAACCAAACAGCCGTTAACTTTTACATCCATACCGAGGCTGCATGTCCTGGGCTGTCTTGACACGACTCTGAATCTTCATTGGTGAGAAAACAAACTACACTTTTAAGTGACTTTCAAAATGTGCGTTGCTGATGAAACGTAGCGCTTTAAAAAAAAATATAGTTCGTACATTTTTATCCCAGAATTGTATTCAAATGATATGCCAAGGTTACATGTATGCTAATGGCGCACAAAAAATTGCCCAGCGAGACGTAATGCAGAATATAAAAAAACAAACAACATGGTCAAATTATACGAAAAAAATGATCAATGATACAGTCTATAATCACCCAGGAATGTCTGTCCTTAACGCTCGTGACGTCACTCCACATCGACCACTCCCCCTAATTAATATTCATGAGCAGGTGACGTCCTCCAAATGGATACCCCCCCCCCCAATTCATAATAATTAGCGGCTGACGTCACTCCACATGGGGGGCCGAGGTGCCTCCTCCCCCCTCCTCGGCGTCAACTTACAACCCTCACTACAAAGGCAGAACCCTGACGTCACGCGATCTCCGTAACGCTATTGAGACATCAAAGTAAAAAGGACGCCATGATGAACAAGGGATTATAACCTTTAAATGAAATAAGTCTGTGTCACCGCGCCCTTACAAATTGCACACGCATTGGTGCAATGAATATCACGTCGCGGTCTGCTTTTCGCTTGGACGGGCAAAAGGTTTGCTCATTATAATCGCCGAATTGTGACAATTCCCAGAATGTGCTGGCTAGAGTGATTTATTGCATCCCTGCCCCTTTACAACCATTCTGGATTTAACCAAGCCGCGGTGGCCACAGAATGGAGATGTTAACTACCTCGCATGGTGTACAGGAGGTCGTGGGTTGGATCCCGACCCTGACGCCTGCTGTATACTTGGAGTTTTCCTGTCCCTTTCACCGTGGTCGCGTGGATTTTTCTCCGGGTCCTCCGGTTTTTCCCTCCTCATTTAGAATCAACGCGCGTTTCGAGTATTTGGCTGCTATAAATTTCCACGTGATAAGCCACTTCTCGTTGAGCCATCATCTGTGGCCAGGTCGCTTCTGAAAAAGAGCTCAGTGGGCCTTGCCTGGTAAGACAAAAAAACTAGTTTATTTTGGTTTAGAAAGCTTCCAAGATCTGAGCAGAGTCCCATTAGTGTATTCCTCAGGCAGGTGAAGATGTGTGGGCTGGGTCGGATAGCCCGCATCCCCGGCCACCGCATGCCCAAAGTACGCCTTAAGCATTGCGGTGACATGACAACCACTTAGTGGTGAACAGCAGCTGTTATTATTATTATTGTGTGAGTGTGTGTGTACATGGCAAGCCGGGTTCAATTTCCTATCACAGTCATCAGCAGTGACGATAATTATCTGAACCGGACCTGGGCATCGACTAGGTCGACTCAGCCTCAAATGAGTACCTGGTGCAGTGTTTAAAATCGCCACTAGGGAGACAAAGGCGGCCGGGCGTTGTACTGGCTACCCACCCCCTCGTGTGCTATGTCGGCCTTCATAGGTGCTCGCTACCAAGCACTTGGCCCAATAAGTGTGTTATGGGCTATATGGGGGATCTTTGTCTTTGTATTAGACTGTGGGAGGGGTTGTGTAGCGGTTAGTGCGATGCGCTATGTTCCCGCTCACAACCAACACCAGTGACGATTACCTGAACTGGTTCTGGATCGACTCAGCCTCGAATGAGTACCTGGTGCGGTGTGTAAACATCGCCACGAGAGAGCCAAAGGCGGCCGGGCATGGTGCTGTCTATCCACCCCCTCGTGTGCCGTGCCGGACTTCGTAGGTGCTACTCGCTAACAGCATTTGCCCAAACAGTCGGTTCAGGCTAGACGGGGGATCTTTGTCTTGTGTCGACTGTCACAGTGAGGGGCACGGCTGGTCGGTGCATCTGCCAGTCATCTTAGTCGGTCAACCTTGGCCAGCGGCGGACCCTTCCTGCGGCACTTCAACGTGATAGCCCCAAAGTGCACCTAGCCTGCCACAAGCGCCGTGATGACGTCGCGATTGTTGTCGTCGTCTTTGATTGGCTGGCAAGAGCAGTATAGTACAAACCACACACGCACATATATCTATGTATGTCAGTGTATGCAGGCAAAAGCGTGACAAGAGTTCTGCAAAGGTAAGGCGTTCACTTATCGCTTATCGCTAAAATGGGCCAATTAGTCAACGCACCTGTCTCACACCTCTTCCCTCGACGGAGACACTGACAAGTCTTCTATTACTTGGTTCACTGCGCCCCGTCGTCTGTCTGCACGCCGAGCGGAGCAACGCCGCTTGCGAGCCGCGAATTAACTCCCTAATTGTCCCCATTACGCGCTACAGCGAATGGCGCCGCAACGCAACAACCGCAACAACCGCACGCGCGCGCGCGCACGCGCTCATCCACCGCCGATAATTGCAGCCGCCGCTCTTCTAAGCTGGACAAATCCCTCCCCCCCCCGCCCCCCGCCCCCCCGTGAAATGAACGCACCCACGTTAAGCAATGACGGCGGTGCCATTGGCGTAAAAAATGGGGGGGGGGGGACATTGCGTTTTTATAAAAATGTTCTAGAATGCGTAGCTCGAAATGGGGCCCCTTCTACAACGGCGACGCACGATCACGATTTGGGGTTTACTGGATGCGGCGGCGGGCAAATGCGGCTGTTGTCTCGGTGGCGAAGTGAAAAGATCAGGATGTGCGCACATCGTAGGGAAATTACAACAACAATAAAAACACATGCACGTGTAGTGTTTATATTTAAAAAAATTGACAAGTGAGGAACCCGTCGTTCAGGGTGGTTCACACCGTGGATTACACACTGCACTATGCACATCATCAGTAGCGCGAGCAATAATATCTGAAGCAGGAACGCATTTACCGCGTTAAACAAGGACTTACTGTATGTGGGTAGGCATTTCGGATTTCTACGTAACAGTGCAAAGGCAATGCAATTTTTAAAGCATTCATAGCTCGGGCTGAGCAGTTATATGTAAAAAGAAAAAAATATGTATGCAAAGTCACTAAATAATCTACTGCAAAAAGGATAAATAATATAATCTTTTTTTAAAAGTGAAGATTCCATAGAAATAGGATGGACTCCACTTGCTAATTTTATTCTCATATGATACGTGGATTTTTTTATTGAGCGTTGGTAAAATAAATTAAACCGTGGGCTCATCCCTGGTATCGTCAAAGATAAAAAAAAACACATGCAAATATATCATCGCAGAACCATGCAGCCCTCTTGCCTGGGCACATTCAGGATCAGTTGAGCGGTTGTGTTTGTATCTGTCCCGTGGTCAGGCAGAGACGCGCGTGGCATCGCGGTTGACTCCGCGTTGAAACGAGCGACCACAATGCACCGTGGTCTGTAATTGCGCGCGTCATCAACGGAGCTATTTTGCACACGTGCCACTGGGCAATCGCACGCCAATTTCCGTAGTTAATTTTGAGGGTATAATTTGTGCGGTTAAACCAAGACATGTGTGTGTCTTTTCTTTTATCAACCAATGTTTTACCGGGGGTTGCTGAATAGTGGGTTGAGTTATCATTAAACCTCTCCTCTGGTCTGGAATTATTTATTTTGCCCCTTTTTTTACAATCAAATGTATTCCAAATCCGGGATTATCGGCGTCAAATTAAAGTATGCATTCTTAATGATCGCAGGGCAACGCATCATCCCCTCTGCTCGAGAACAGCCACGCAAAAGAAGATATCACAGAACTACTTCTGAGATCCCTTCAAGTGATAGATATTATTCGCACACACAGTACACTCGCTGCTGTAAAGATGTGGGTGGCATAGCAGTAAAATACTCAGAGATGGGATATTCTCTCAATATAAAGTGGCTGTAAATCACGATAATTATTTATCAGCAGCCAATACCGACGTCCTTTGGTCTGCAGAACCATGTGATATATATGTGATTTCTACAGTGACTTAAGCTAAGTCCATCAGCTCATTACACTTGAGAATTCAGTTTAATTAATCACAGGCAGCTGAAATTTTATTTTTAACCCAGCATCTCTGCACTCGCACCTCTAAGCCTCCCAAATCACGTCTGGGATCTGACATTTGAAAGGAGCCTGAAGCATTGGTTATCAATCTTGATGTTTTTCCTTCTTTCTCACCTGATGCCGGACGCTTGTGTAGCGACCGAAACGTCGTGTTCTTTTCTATTTTTTTTCTATCTACATGACTTGACCGAAAGAACCAGAGATCATTGGTTATCAGTCACCGCTAATGTCAAGCTGTGGCCTGGAATCAAAGCCATGTTGCTCTGTTCATAGTGCAGCGCACTACACCACTGAGATATAATGTCGAGGAGACGGAAATGTCTGTCAACTCCGTTAAAGGAGACGACTTTTATCAGGCGACACAGATCCCCGACACGGAAAGAATTTTCATGGTGTCGTGAGCACCTGTTTGGTCTCACGTTGTTGTACTCTTTGCCACCACAGATCCCAAGAGACGCGTGTGGTCTAAACATTTGAAAGATCACCAATACAATGCGTTCACAGTTGTGAATTGGATGAAGGTGGTGCGGTGTATGCTTTGGGGCCCACAAATCCATCTCCCCCCCAAAAAAATATAAATGTTGCCGCTCGTGAATTGTTCTGCCTCACGGCAGGTGTGGGGGGTAGGGTATCAGCCATTACACAGAGTACAAAATGGAGGCACAAATAATGTCTCAGTGAAGACAGGTGTATTTGTTCATTGTGGGACTTTAAGAAGCATTCTCTGTAAGTTCGTTTATGTTCTTACAATACTGGAAATGCTGTTATAATGTTAGAATGGCGTTATAATGCTGTAAATGCCTTTATAATGCTGTTAAATTGTTATGATAAATATGAGGCCTAGTTAACAACGAAGCCTGCCACTTGCCTTATTGTGAATGTTACTTGTAATTGAATAAGTCGAGTCAGACTTGTACCCATGTAACCTAATTGCGATCTTGAGAGCAAGGATGACGAAATATCTCATCCACAGTTCAGTGTTATGTGTAGTGCTGTACATTTAGGCTACAGTATGGTGATTACACGATGTGCCCTTATTTAACACAGTAGCTTATTCTCTTGTATAGCGATTCAGTACTAATGTAGGTGCCTGGTCCATCCAGGATCTATTGTTGAGTTTCATGTTATCTAAGATAATGTTATGATGCTGTAGTGTTCATTCATTGTATCTATATTTCCAAGTATTAACAGATGCTGTATTTGTGCTGTGTTTTTCCATCAGTTTTACCTCATTCAATTCATTAAATACGTTTGGAGTCGGATGTTCACCCTGGCTCTGAAGGTTTATTGAATGCGCGGTTATCTACTCTGATAGTGGTGCAACGCTGCGCACAGCGAGGGCGAGATACGAATGTTTTTTCGCGGTTGCGCTGCGCGGATTTTTCAATCGTGTTCCTCGGGCTCTGTCACCACGTGTCTTCCGGCATTATTGTCCGACGATGCCAGGAGCCTTTTCAGCACCTCGAGGCGTTCGGGCATGGGGGACGGACGGACGACATTCACGAGAGAGAGACAGAATGTTCCTTGTTCGTCCGATTTCGTAAATGTGTCCATGACAAAGGCAATTGTGTAAAATCGCCCGGGCAATTTGCATTTCAGCCGGTTTCGTTAAACTGTGCATCTGCTCCTTTGAGTTGCAGGCGATTTTCCTTCTCCGCGGGGGTCGTGGTGAGAAGAGAAGCCCATTAAAGTGTTTCCTTTCTGGGGGTTTGGTCTCCGCTGTCAAAGAGCCTGCCCTGACCCAATTTTAGAATTCGATGAAGCCGTATAGAAAGCTGACTTCTGCTTAAGGGGTTCTTAAAGCACAACATTGACCTGCTGTAGACCAGAGAGTACAGAAGGGCAACGGGCTGAACCTACACAGTTTTCTCTTCTTAATTCATTGCTTTGGTGGTGTGGGTGGAGCCGTGGCTTTGGAGCAGAGGGATTGACTCAAAGTGCGTTTTTTCCCAAGAGGATGAATGATTCCAGACTCTTTCAAATAAAGCCTCGGTATAGAATATTTTGGTGTGAAAATATATCAAGGCTGGTTCTGTAACGAAAGGCTCGCCTCTTCTCTCCTGTTTTTTTCCCCTGCGCGTGTGTGTGTGTGTGCACGTGTGCTATGCAACGTGTGTGTATTTTACTTTGTGCGAAGTGTATGGAATGGTTGCGCAGTGGCTGTTCGCACACCGCACTACGAAGCCGACAACCCGAGTTGGATTTCCCGCTCACGGGGAGCGTCCATTATGAATATCTGAACCTGTCCTGGGCCTCCCCTAGGTCGAGTCAGCCTTAAACGAGTACCTGGTGCGGTGTGCAAAGATCAGCACTTCCCAAACAGTGTTCGGGCTGTCAGGGGTATCTCTGTCATTGCGTGTTAGTGTATGTGTACGTGTGTATTTATTTTTGCGTGTGTGGAGGAGAGTGGTAGTGCAATACTATCTGTGACCTGTGTTCAATCCCCAGTACGTGCATATTAGTGGCACGCGGTATCTGGACTTGTATTTGACCTCTGCTAGGTGATGCGGGGGACCTCCATCTTGCATTGGCTATGGGGTAGCTCTGAACACATCGTTGGGAGTTATTTGTGCTGTTTATTGATGGCGAAGGCAAGCAGCTGTGTGAAAAATGTTCAGGAGAAAATAATAAACTATCATTAATCCTAATAGTTGTGCGAAAGATTACTTTACTTTCTTACAAATGGAATTTCTACCATCACCGTGGATGAGCTAGGAAACCAATCAGGTCCCTGTGAGTTGTGTGCCGGCAATTTGTCCTTAATAGCCACCGTTTGATGTATCGATGTGTTATGTAACTCACACACACACATACATGAGCTGCCAGATATTTGTTGAATACTGATCTTGACTTCCTCAAACCAGAGTTACCATGCAGTAATTGCATTGATCAAGATTATATATTTTTTACGTAGTGCATTTTCTTTGAAGCAAGGGGAAATAAACAATTGGGCACATGCAGAGGTTTTGCTGACAAGATAAAAACAAATCACTGCATTTCATTCAACTGTATGTGGCATGTCATAAGAGGAATGCTCATTGTCAATGTATAATGTTGCGGTGTTGAGTGTTTGAAATGTTATGAATATCAAAATACAGTCTATGGAGGTCTTTGATGTATTTAGGAATATCACACGTACGTTAGACAATCGTTTGGATATCTTTCTGAGATATTTGTCAAATAGGGCGTTATTGTGTTTAATACAATATGTAATTTTAAGTAGGCACTATTTGCAAGCATGGCACGCTCCATCAGCTTGGAGGACGAGAGTGATATTGGGCATGTAGCTGGAGGCGCGATTCTTGCAGCTTTTCGGGATTTAGAATGAA